AATACTTGACATTATATCATACCTAGTGGCATTTAGGTTTCTCAAACAATCTGTCGATGCCTTGTCAAACACAAATGCTGCCCACTGACATGGACGTGCGTTAATTGTTCATGTGAATGAAGGTCGACAAAATAACCGTCCAATAGTCAACTAATTTATCTTTCGGCTTTATAAAACACGTCAACCAATGATCAAATGAGAACATAATTGCTTGCCCTACTCTGTCTAGCCTAGTCGCCTGGCAATTCTCCCGATTCACGATAACAACCACTGACTAAGTACTATTGAGTACTATTGAGCGCTATTGCGTGCTACTACTGAGTACTATTTGGCTACACTGAAGTAATATGATTCAGTTAGACTAATCTTACTACGGTCGTATCTTTTCGGTTTGTGCCCTGCTGGCTTCCATAAGCTCATTCGATTGTCCCATCCGACCCACAATTGGAGAGGCAACAAGGAACTTCATTCTTGTTGCTTGTTTCTCCTCACAAACATCTACCAGCTGAAAATCCATAACAACAGCACAACTGTTTTTCCTGTTCTTCTTATTATGGATCAAGTTGAATAATGTACTTCTTAGTTGATACCTCTCTGATCAGAACACAGCAGCAAATCTTGGCAACCACAAGCAAGCAATGCCCATTTTTTAGCTCTTTGGGCATGCTAAAATGCAGCTTTATTTCACTGATCTTAGGAACAGGTTCATGCATAAAATTACTTTGCGATTGACGATAGTGCTCTGGAAGGTTCAGATTGCAAATATCACGTAGTCGTTTGTAAGGACACTAGGTATGAATGAGCTAATTCTTTGCTGCACGGGTAAAAGGTCAGGGCCGTACAACAAACTGCACTCTTATTATTGTGGCGTTATATGGATGAATGAAAATACCTCATGACCATAAATAGTGGAAAAGCTGATAAGCTGTTCACTTATAGACAGGAGTAATACTAACCAAGGGAGGAACTGTCAAATGGGCATGGATCATGCTACCAACGACGCAATGGGTTATTCCAACCGATAGCAAGGGCAAATGACGTAAGAGTTACTACATTATTGGATACAAAGACAGAAAAACCAGTCGTATAATGGGACTTAAATATCAGCACAGTAGATTCCCCAGCTCTATGTATAATGATGAAACTAATGTGCCTACGAAACTGTAATCAACCGCACAAGTCTCTCATAACTTGTTATAAAAAAACTCGGTTGGACTGATTTATTCACATCAGAGTGAAAAACAAAACAAAATTTGATAACCTCGACTGTCTCATTAGAAAGCGTATTCAGTCAAAATATGAACGTCCAGCCCTGATTTCTAAGAGTCTGCATTAGCATAAATAGTCAAATTCAGTCCTAGTACCTAACAACGGCTCTCATGCTGGTTAGACAACGATTAATTGAGCTTAGCTTTAGAAAGTTGTACGACCGATGACACATTCTAATAATGAGAACTTCACAGGCGGGCCAGCAGCGTGAGAGAGACCAAACCCATTAATTATGAGCTTTTATTACACCTAAATTCACGCTAGAGACAACCTACTAAACAACCGCCCAAGGATCCGCCAAATGTAAATACCCACTGTGTATTGTTTTGATCAGCCTCTGAGTAGACCATGGTTACCTTCTTGGGCACGACCACTTCCCGTTTGCAAAGATATTTATGACCTAATCTCAACAGGTTTCACCAATTTAAAGCCCACCATCAATAAGTTTGTTTCGAAATACGAATTCGCATTAAAAAGATCCCCTGCTCTTATAGAAACCCGGCACAGTCATGATAAATTAGTATTTAAGATTATCTGGATATAAATACCAAATGGACGGCTGCAGCTTTAAACTCTTTCCTTTCGACATTGATAACTCAGTATTTCTTTGTTTAAGAGCGTTCATTTTCTTACAAATCTCATCAATTTCATCTCTCAACAACGAAGTAAGTTGGTTTTGCATGAGATTTGGTTTTCTAAATGTCTAGTCTCAAGGCTGCCTGGCCATCCACCAATAGGAAGATAGGCCAACTAACGATCTAATAGGAATACTCATCCAAATGATCTGCGACTGGTCAAGGTCGGGCACGCAAGCGCAGCAACCACGCACTTCCACGCACAAAGCACTGATAATGTCTCCTAGACCGACGATGGAACGGTTTCAACAAAATTGCCCAGGTCAGTGAACGAACTAACAGCCAACCTTCAGAATGCTATGGGACTTTTGAGAAGTGCGCGACCCAAAAGCTCCAGGGCTGATGAAAGGCTCGATCAAGGTTCGGGGAAGTACACTATACTGTAATTCTCTGTGTGATAAGATGGTCAGGTCTGTGTAAATTTGGAAGAATTTTGCAGCTATCCCGAATGGAGTAGTGTGCTCTGATCTTTGTATGTAGAGTCAATGACAGCTTAACCGAACCAAAGTTATTAGGCAGACGTAAGTGTTATTGACACAACACACCTAACAATCTATCATAGGAGATTTACAGGTCAGTGTGAACAAACAAGTATTAGTCCACTCGAAAACCCCTTGGATTACTAAACTATTTCCCAGTAGAACAAAGCTTTATGGATTTGAAGTAACTGAAAATACAAGCTCCACCTACAACGTTGCATATACCCAATAACCTCAACGTGGGAGCCCGTAAAAAATAGCTCACCCATCAAGGTCACATCGACTCTGATTAAACGTATATTATTGCCCGAGCAATCAGCGATGATGAATATTAGATAGAAACTGACTTACCTCGGTGTCAGACGACTCAGCGAGTACGAGCCAACATAACACTGCACACAAAGAAACTCCAAACATAGGGTTTACAGGTTGGCACTGAAAAGGTGTCAGCTCACGTCAGGCTTTTTAAGTGATTTCACCTTCAAAACTTCTCTTGTGAGAGCGCTATCGTACGAAAAAATATTTGTGAGCTTTGATACCACATATATCTTGTCGAAAAATCACGTTCTCTCTATCTGTGACAGTTTGAGTGCTTGTTTCCAAAGTCCATGTATCATGTGGAATATTTATCCATTGTGTGATACTTATCGCTGTCGGAGAACAGCAGGTCAAAGTGTCTGCGCATAAAAATATGAAAATTCGGTGGAAATTTTTGGGTGCACCAATTCAGCATGAATTGATTAGAGGTTACAAAGTGTCTAGTGGTCCTTGGCTTTATTTCCATAAAAAATACATGGATGTAAACACAGAGATGGATAGATAGATAGATAGATAGATAGATAAACAGATAGATAGATAGATAGATAGATAGATAGATAGGTAGTTAGATAGATAGATAGATAGATAGATAGCAAGTGATGTGGAATGATAAACAACTAGGCATACGAGCTGACAGTTTCAGGGATAGTGAGACAACGAGCAACAGAATGTTATGAGAGAACGTGTCGATAAATTTACAATTAAACAATTTCAAGGTTCGAGCGGACAGCTTTGCTGATGAAATGTTTACGCAGAAATGGTAAGACCAGTTATTAGGTTTGTGAACAAAATGCTGACCAGGCAGCGAAGAAGGTAATAACTCGCCCATTTAGTGAGTCTAAAACTTCGTTTAAAAAGACATAAATTGTTCTAATGAAGACAATGGCATGTGACAATAAGAAGCCCAAGATGACAATATTCATACAAGAGCACACAGACTTGTATATGCGATAAAGGGGTTGATGTGCTTCGCATAGCCTTCTAAAAGAAATGTCTCTGGATTTGAAAAGACCGTTTCAACGCGTAGAGTCCAAATACGTCCGTAGATAGGCTTCTTCTTGATTTCTGGAACCACCATTGTTGAGTAGACACTACAGAAGTTCTCTCAGATAGAAAAACAGCAGGGTGATATAAAAGCGCCACTTTGAAGAATTTATGCGGGTTAGGTTTTACGTTCATCTCAGAGGAAGAGGAAGTTGGCCAGATAAAAGATCCCCCAAGTAAACGCTGTCAGATCGAGAAGTGCGGTGGTGCAAAAACCAAGCATGTCAGCACACCTTAAAAGGTCACCATGTGGAAGAAACAAGAAAATCATCGGTGGAAAAAACCTTACCTTGGAGAGTACGGTATTACTGGGAATGGTAATGCAACAGAGCTGTCAAACCTTTGTTTGACACAAGCGAATCAAGCAGAGAAGCACTGAAATTCACAGACTGAAACTTATGTAGAGGAAATAACACAGAATATAGGCCATTTAAATGACATTTTGCCACGGGACTACTTCCACCCGGACACAAAATAAACCAAAGAATAGCAGACTTGATTGTGCCAAAAAATTTTACAAGCGAATTGGAGAGGGGGCTGGCACAAATGATATCACAATAGGGTTAGATAGAAAACAACAGGATGGTACATTCTATCTGATTTATTAATGGGTATAGTGCAAGCCGTTCTATAAATCTTTTGGTATGGGGAAAACCGTTAAAAATACAGATCAATTGTATCTAGTACAGCCTCACTAACTAGTCCACCAAACATTTAAGTAGATGGAGGGATATGCCCTCATAATCCGCAGCAAATATCTGCCGATAAGACATGAAAAACAAATCAAGCAGTCCCGAGACAGCTAGGAGGTGCTCTCTTTCATAATGGGACTGAGGTTGGTGAGGTTCGTGGGAAAGTATAAACTCCATATTTGGTATGTTCAAACCTATCCAGCCACTGGTTACGTCAGAATTTCTATCGAAGATATCACCACACACCATTTGATGAATCAAGGTAAACCAGAGGACTTGTAATTCTAAGCATGTTCCTTCTGTTGATGATGTTTGCAATCTAACTGCCAAGCTCGACGAACCAACATACAACATGTTCTTTTGTCTTCAAAATCGTTTAAACTAAACTGAGTCAACCTATCTGGGTATGTAACCAAGTCAGATTCTTACACAATGTTCCAAAGTTTGTAGGAAGTCCTTCGACAGCCAACGATCCGTTTTACATCTGTTGAAGCGCTTTGTAGGCGCACTCCCCAATTATCCGTCAACCTAGTGTTCATCTGTTATTCCGTGATTTTTGTGATCTGCAACCGCGACTCCAACCGTTTTTACATCAGCTTTCTCATTTTGTTCCAACTCAGCGCACAGAATAACAAGAACTAGTCTCTCCTGGTTCGTCGTCGGTCAGCCTGCTGAGTTGCGCTGAGTGCAGCTAACCAAAAGTCCTTTCAGCTCTAACACACATTCGGTTCCTAGCTTCAATGCCGGTCGATGAAAATACGTGGGCTTATGTACCCCTATGTTACCGAAGCCTAGACAGGAGGAATTATGTTGCCTAAGTTAATTTCAAGCCACAGACCTGTTCGGCAGGTCTTCTGATTAACCGCGGACCAATCTTGAGTTCTGGGTGAAAAAGGGAAAATTCGCCTTTCGGACCTCTCGCATTAGCTGGCACGGTCCTCGCGTTCCCGACGCAGAATCTTAGGTGTTTCTGTCTTCTCTCTCACGATCTGCACCATCTGGTGGAAAGGTTGTCTGATGCTGAGATCGGAAACGCGGAATGCTTCGGGTACTAATTTCCCGGCAATTGACTTCATGATCTAACAAACAAAACACTGGGGACTGACTTTAGGCGAAGGTTCAGTGAGGAAGGCACTGTTGTCTGACAATTAATAATACTTTATCCTTTGAACTACATTTCTGCCGTCCTACGATAGGCACTGGCGATCACGGCAATATTTCGAACGACTGAACTTCGTACTCTTTGAAGTTGGCCTCTTCTAACCTATCCTTTCTTGGAGGATTTACACGCAGTACACTCTTCTATATGAATTCGTTTGCGCTTAACCTGCCATGGGAGGCACTAGGCACACCTAGGATGGTTGGAAGCCTCGGTTTATAGGGGATGTGTAGAATTTTAAAAACCATGGTATAAGCTTTGGAATAAAGCAATTAGTAAACCATGCAGAAGCTTAAAATTAATCACTCGTAATACAGTATTGCTTCAATACATAGTTAGCAGTCAGGCCAATTGCAATCTTAGCAGGCACGCGACTCCACCGGTTTCAGTGTAGAAAACTACAGAATTATTACTGTTATCATTCACAATAATGTTGATAGTATGATTAGTTGATTCGTCCAAAACCGACTGATTTCTCAGAGCGGCGAATTTTGAAAGACCCTCCGTCTTAATTCGTCAACGATCCTGACGGATAACCTAACAGTCACAAGCCACTGAGCTGAGAATTTGAACCCATGACGCCTGATTGATCTCACATATGCAATCGACAGGCCCTAGCTTGACGGAAAACCCTATGTGGATCGGTTCTGTGGAACTGAGCACATCTTGCAAGCAAATTTGGGACTCTCTGTAATCATTCTGCCAACACACGGGTAAAAAAGCAATAGTTTATAATTTACGACTAATTCCGTTATTGTCTTTTTATCTGGTTAAAACCGCTTGTCAGTTCGGGTGAAGAAAGCCGATAGAAATTTCTAGAGCCTATGACTAATAAACCATTTTAGTAATTCGTGAGGCTTTGTAGTGATTAACGTTTATACCCTCCTTTTCCCATTTTCCATCAGCAAGACCAGACGCTACACGGGTTTCGAGGTTAGCATGGACACAAAAAGCTAACCATTATAATCTCACCCCACTAGACCCACAGCATAATGTGACAAGCCACCACAACAATTTTGTCACCTCTGTAATGTACTACTCATAAGGTTGCTGAAAATCCGTCGACAGCCCACGACCGGTTTCGCCCTTTTTGGGGCTCATCAGGTAGGCGCAGTTTCCGTCAACCTTATGTTCTACTTGAAACCAAATTGCACGGAATCAGCGGATATACACTCATTTGCAGACTAGTTTGGTTCTTTCGAGAGACTCAACTGGAACCCAGCTGAATCTCTCGTTTGTGATGTTCTCAGGCACCTTGTTCACCTGTCACCTTGTTCACTAACCGAAGTTCACTGTGGTATGGAAAAGTAACGAAGTACGCAGCAGAGCAGAGGCTCCTCAATTTGACAGCTTATATCTATTCAAACTACGCTTATGTATGGTCAGAGTATAAGAATATGTTTATTGCAAGTGAGCGGAAAAATCAGTCAGTCTGTCACAAGCCACCCCAATACCATCAGTTAACAAGTACGAGATGTTAAATAGGCAAAACTTAATGTGGGGGTTGGCTCAAATAGCCAAACAAGTAACTAAGATAATCTAATCTGATGAGCACGCTAGACTGTATCTATCAGAAATCCATGTTGATTCAAGTACTATTGCTGGGGAATCAGTTGGTGATTTGTCGAGCTGCATTGTCGAATCAGCCGATCGACTTTTGATTCAAGGGCGGAAACTCCACCCCTTTTTCACTACTCACGGATTAAAAGTAAACTGCTCAGTGAAAAGCATCCGCGGTAAGTTACATGGGGGTAACAACTGTCAGGGCGCCGACCGAGAGTGTCACAAATTCGACTGCATAGTTGAACCCTGCATGGCACCACATCATGTCTAATTTCAAGTTGAGCAAAATGTTGACAATCACTCCGTCAAATCGTCGTTTGGGATTGATCCGAAACTCCTTGAAACGCTCACTAATGGCTGTCAAGAAAGTCACGAAAGCACATTTGTTTTGACGCCTCATTATACAGTCCTTTTGTCTTGTTATTGTGGGCATGTAAGTACACACAAGACGCTCACTAAAGACTTCCACATAAGACATGTTGTCTTAGAAAATACACCGACTGTCTTTTACATTCAACTTATCACTAGTGAAAGAATAAGACGAATGTTGAAGAGGTTTTAAAACTTCTACTTCCAGTCACTGCTGGTTGCAACATGTTGATGTGTAATATGCAAACAACATCGTGTTAATCACTAGGCGC